GGACGCCGAAAACCATACCGACAGATCAAGTCCCATACTTTACAAGTGACGGGTTACGGACGCGTTGAGAGAAACTGGACAGCAACTAGGTACGAACCACTCCCTATCATTCCCAGACAAATGGATTGACAAAGAGGAATAATAAAACGATTAAAAAAGTGCTGGAAGCGAATGGGGAGATTTGAAAGGCAGTTTACCACTACTCTTACTAGCTCACCGGGTGTTCAAGCAAGCAAGCGCCAGTAGATCCCCATTCCAGCTAATGTACGGCCACAGACCTCGACCTTCTGTAGATCTGGAAGTAGGGGTGTGGCCGATCTGCCAGTTACCGTCAACTCAAGCACGGAACAACGAAAAGTGGCCAACCGAAATCTGAGATCAGCTCAGGATCGGATGATAAAAGTTTCCGGATCAGCATGAAGATATCATCCGTAGACTTTCCAATTGGTTCGAAGGTGAGGGTCACCAACGTGCGACCGCGTGTTGCCCCCGGGGAAAGCAAACTCTTGCCGAAGTGGAAGGGACCGTATGACCTATTCGATCGTTACGTGACGGGTTCCTGCTATCGAATTGCGCAACTAGTATGAACGAGAAGAAACTACGATGTTCATGGAGGTCGACTGCCGCGGACACTTTGGAGGGGAGGAGTATGGTACACTACTAACAAGTAACATGTGTAAAAACGAGCGGGCTTGAGAAAATCAGACCATTTATGGATGGCCGCAGACGAACGACGTGTGGTGCACAGGTCATTTCCCCCTGACACGTTGTGAATGAAAGACCGCAGCGGAACGGATAGTCCGAAAGGTACCACGGAGGAAGTGGACATATGGTCCTGAGTTTCAGTGTTCAAAGTATTACGATATCTAAACATAGGTTCTCCAATACACAACTCGTCTGCACTGCTTTGCGTTCTCAACACATTACTAGATGTCCGATCGAGGACGAAACAATTAGTGACTTTCGATGTCACCCGTCTAGCGGCCTCCCCAAACTATCAGGGTAACGGGCCAAAAATTTTGAAAGTCACCGTGGCTACACCTGAGATGGTATCAACGGCCGTCCAAGCGTGGCACGACAACAGAAAACGTGGGCCAACTGAAGTACGTTTAAGGCCGTTCCTAAACAAAGTACGAGCCACAGATACAGACGAACCGGACTCGGTTGTTCCCAACTCAGGTCAGACAAATGTGCAAACGCCTCTGACAAAAAACGTACGCAGACCGGCACAATCCGTGCCGGTCAACCACATCGAACCGAGCTCGTAATGTGTCAACAGATACAGTGCTGCTACACAAACGCTCAGGGGCTCAACTCTAAGCTACCTGAATTGCGCCATCGACATAACACAATCAATTGGGATATCATAGCTGTAAGTGAAACCTGGCTCTCCAATGACATGCTCGACACGGAAATCGAAATCAGTGATATGGCAGTTATTCGCAATGATCGTCCATCTCGCGGTGGCGGCGTTGCTCTGTATTATCGGAATTGTCTGAGGTGTGAGGCTATTAACGAACGTCATCTTGCTGTCTCGGACGCTTTGTTTTGCTGAATGCAGCTAAATGGCCTAGGTGGTGAACCTTCGAAGAAGACGTGGGATGCTTGTCTGTTGGCAGTTGTCTACAGGCCACCAAACTCCACCGCAGACCGAGATGATATTCTGTTAAACGCGCTTCATTATGCAGTTTCTCAAAAATACTCACATTGTCTAATCATGGGCGATTTTAATGTACCCTCAATTGTCTCAGCGACTTCTAGTGGTCCTTACTTCAAATCAAAGATTCTCGAGTTTATGGATACAGCAGCTCTGTACAACCACGTGCACCGACCAACTCGATACCGCGGTTCAAATAAGCCATCACTTCTGGATTTAATCCTAACTGACGAAGAGTTGACGATTGAGATAATTTCATACGATCCACCATTAGGCAACAGTGACCACTCAGTGTTAAATTTTGCCTGTGTGTTACGCCAATACTACTGAAATCAGACATGAAAACCGACGAACTATAACCAACTATTCCGTGCTTCACAGCCTAGCGACAACCGTCAACTGGGACCTCAATCTGCAGAGCACGGCAGACGACGCGTGGAACGAACTAAAAGACAAAATTAGCTGTGTCACGCAAGCAGCGTCAAAAGTCATACCATTACGAGTGCCGCGCCGGACCAACACCTGGATCCGAAGCAGAACGCGTAAATGGATTAGCACCAGAGACGAGATCTGAAGACAATACGCGCTGAACAATTGCGACGCCACCTGGGAGAATTACAAAATAGTGAGGAACTATTGCACATCACTGATTAGAGCCGATAAGTACGAATGGCAAAAAAACATGGTATTTAAATTCACGAACAATACAAAACTGCTGTACAGGTACGTGAACAGCAGAAGGAAGGTTAAAACAGGAATACCACCACTCAAGACGGATGGTGGCCTAACGACTACTGCTGTGGACGCTGCGAACGCATTACTTCTGCAGTTTGGCACAGTGACTGCAAACGCCATAGAACCTTTGCCTAACCAGCATTCACCCAATGTGGTCGGCATATCAACTGTCACTTTTACCTCAGCAGCTGTCGCTAGCAAATTACGGTCTCTAAGAGAAAATAGCGCTCCGGGAGTCGACAAGATCAGACCCAAAGTTCTTAAAACTCTTGCTCCCACCATAGCAGCACACCTCGCAATCTTTGTCCAAAGTCTACTCAATTCCCAAACACTTCCGTCTGAGTGGAAAAGCGGGATAGTCACTCCGATATACAAAGGAGGTAAGCGATCGGATCCTGCCAACTACCGACCCATTACTCTCCTCCCTGTTTTATCAAAAGTAATGGAATCGTTAGTTGCAGATGAAATTACACGATATTTTGAGAGTCTGAAGCTAATTTCTCACCTCCAACACGGCTTTAGGCGCAAACGATCTTGCCTCACAAATCTGCTTCTTGCTCGGGATTCATGGACCAAAGCGCTTGACGAAGGATCCCCCCTTGATGTGATTTACCTAGACTTTTCGAAGGCATTCGACAGAGTCAATCACTTAGCTCTGCTTCATAAGCTTCGTGCCTACGGTATCCATGGTTCCCTACTCACCTGGCTAGCGGCATATTTGCATGACAGAACGATCAAAGTCAGAGTCGCCGATGCCCTCTCTGCATCTCCAGCGGTGTTTCTCAAGGATCCGTCCTTGGTCCCCTTCTTTTTCTGGTCTACATTAACAACCTCCCGGATAATATTCAATCCTCGATGCAAATTTTTGCAGATGACGCAAAAAATCTGGTGAGGTATTCGCTCAACCTCAGACTGTGCCCTCCAGAATGATTTGGATCGAATCAACAAATGGGCAGATATAAATCACCTCCCCTGAATCCTGCCAAGTGTCACCTACTGTCATTGCACAGCAATCTTACCAACACGTACCTCTTGGGACAGTACGTTTTACGGCGCGTGACCACAGAAAGAGACTTAGGTATCATCGTGCAAGAAAGTCTGGGGAATTCGCTCCAATGTTCGAAAGCAGCAAACGTGGCGAACATGAATCTGAGACTTTTGAGGCCAGCTTTTGATGTCTTTGAACGACGGTTGATACCCATGCTTGTCAACTCCTATATCCGTCCTCACGTCGAATATGCCTTCCAGGCTTGGTGTCCATGGTTAAAACTGGACATTCATCTCTTAGAGCAACCCCAACGAAGAGCTACGAAGGCAACACGCGGATTATCTGGTCTCAATTATGAAGTGCGTCTCAGTTTAATCGGAATGTTTTCCTCCGAATACCGACGACTACGCGGAGATCTCATTCTCGCATACCGGATATTAACGGAAAGCGATCACCCGTGCAAATCGCTGCTCACTCTAGCCTCATATAAGCGATCGAGAGGTCATAACCTCAAGCTGATAATCCAACACTCCCGATTAGACTGTAGAAAATATTTTTACTCTCTTAGAATCTGTTCACAATGGAATGACTTGCCAACGCATGTGGTAAACGCTCCGAACATTACAGCCTTCAAACAATTGTTAGACATTCATCTGAGTGACAAACAACACATTGTGGTATGATGTACTAGGTCTAGACTATTGGCATTTCAGTTCCATGTCGGAATCTAATGATTTTTTTATTTATTTTGCATATACCATTCTATGGGTCTTGTAAAGCCAATGTTTTTTATCCCTTCATACACTATTGAACTATTGTGTTGTGCCTAAGCAGTTTAGGATTTCGACCGATTTTGTTATAGCTGATGTTTCTCTATAACATACTCCTCTGTTTTATGTTACCAAATGCATTTTACATGCAGCTCTGTAAGATCATTTCTCCGGTACAGCTCACTTCGACTTACTTTCTTTTCAGACCACGTCGTTTATTTAATGGAAATTCTTCTCACTGATAACGTTTTCACTTCACCGAAGATTTATAGCATTCTGATCTACAAACTGATTTGAACTGCTGCCTACCACTGCTCTTAGACTCTAAGCACCACTTTTCGAAACTACGATTAAGTCGCATTGCTTGGAAGCCGGTTGAAATGCTTTTACCACTAGGTCATTATTGGCCAACGTGTCAACTTGGATTTTTCGTTCTATATTCGTGGTCGAGCTGAAGCCTTGAGCTGATATCGTATGTGTTCCTTCCTCTCACCTGTCCCACGTCAGCGTTATTCCACTGTCCCCTCGGCGTAGGTTGCAACCATGGTGTTATTTTACAGTAATCCGGGAATACTTTTGCTTGAGACCCACTCGTGCGGCTCGGTTTGTGATTATTTCTGTCTGTTTAAAATTTCTGTCGGCTATTGTGTACATCTCAATTGTTTTGGTCCTCTGTATGCCTGCCTCATACTGCGAATGTGGATGTGATCACGGGTAATGCATTGCAAATTATCTTATGCCTATTGGTCTTGTGTAACCTGCCATCTGTATCTGGCCACAGGTATCAAAGTGTTTATTATGCTTCCAAACCCTTCCATTTTACAGTCAGTTCCTTCTCCTTTATCCCCAGTTTTGCGCTCGTCGGTGGAACGAAATACACAGTCATTCCGCCTTATCATCCACGACGTTCACTCGTCCTGGTGACTTGACCTTTTGGCAGTCCGCCATCTGTGGCAGTCTGTCCGGGGGAATTGCTGGCGCATTGACCACTCCTCTGGACGTTGCAAAGACAAGGATCATGCTGGCCAAGGTACACCTGAAACAGTCACTGTGACCGACACCGTTTTATTGGACTCTGTTCCATTTCTCTTCCTTGCTATCGTTTAGGCTCGTCTCCTTTTGCTACCAGGCATCTTACATCACGAGAGCAGGAATAGCCCCTTTATGTTTAGTCCCCTTTCTGCCCACTTCACATGTCTGATTAGTTCGAAGATTCTACTTAACCTATCATATTTTGAGGTGGTTTTTTGCTTTGTCGGTCATGAAACTCAGCATGCTGAGCACACACATCCGTCAACAATTGTCGTACCATATCGACATTATTCTTCAGCACGTGATGGTCACTGTTTGTCTACTTTGATGACAGTTTGTACTTGAAGTGTATCCACACCTTAAAATCCTGTGTGATGGTCTACGCGAACCACAGCGGCCCCATGAAGTGGCCAAGCGCTATGTGCGATTGTATTCGATACCCTTATTGCCCGTATTGACTTGTATCCGGCTTCTCCACCAATGAAAGTCGGGGCAAATGTAAAAACTTTTACAGCACAACGCAATTACTTTTTATTATTATATTTGTTGCTATTTTACTGATCAGCATTGGTTTTAGTGCCACTGATATCTTACTGGTTTTAGCATAATTTCCAAATCTGGCTGGTTTTTCTAGCTTGGCTCTACATTTTGGACATGTTGCACCCACCACATGACCTTATATGATAGAAATAAGCAAATGTTTCGTCTGCTAGTCATATGGGAATTGTTTCTTTTACAACAACTACAGGCAATAAATGCATAACGGTCTTGTATGCGCACTGACGTAAGAAATAAGCTACTCAGCTGATGTATACCATTACAGTCAATTCCTGCTAAACCGCCGTTTGCACTATTTCCTTATATGTGGTTCCTTTGGAAAATCATCTGGGATGCTCCAGCACTAGTCCTCCATCATGTGCCTGTTCCACCTGCCTTGCTATCTATTTCTCATCAACTTAACGTCCTGATGGAACCTCTCGTCTTGTTCTTTACTGAACTCACCAATGTTACCCGGGAATCTGCCTTAGTGTCTACGGAAAAAATGACTTACTGCTCATGTTACAACTAAATGTTTAAAGGTTTACAAACATTCTCCACCAAATCTTCATAATTGCTTACTTTATGGTCACCCAGCAAGCTCTTTAAAACGGAGACAAAATCATCCAAACCAATTGCTCGAAACTGTTCACATCTAAAGTTTCGATCCTTATTGTGTTGTTGAATTAAAAAACCATCAGATGCCAGTTTTCAGTCCCTCCATGCTAAGTTCAAGGAATGATGTACAAGTGTACTTGAAACAATCATCTTCTTTGTTCAGTGCCTTAACAAACTGCTTCATTAGCCCCAACATTATATGGAGTAGTGAAAGAACAGTGCTTTCTCTGTCAACTGATAGCTTCCTCATGATGTTTGCTGCGCTTACATTCATGTTTTCCCTGATAGGCCAAATCACTTTAGTCCAATGATGTTCTTAGCCATTCTGTCCTATAAATACATGAATCAAGCATACTGCACATGTGTGTAAAAAGCCTCCAATCTCTCGATTGACATATTGGTTGTCTCAATATCAGAAGAAATTCAGCAATACTATTGTAAAAGATAGAAACTTCATCTTCTGTGAAGAACGGTAGAATTGTTCTTTCTCTTGTGCGATCAGCTGTTATCTCAGGTTCCTGCTTCAAGCAGTTCTTTCGTTAAAGCTGAGGTCTCGTATGAGATCGCTTAGTTCTTTTTTTGAACATTTCTTAAATGTTGAAGAACTTCCTACATTTTCACTGCTACTGACTCTATCTGTTTTACAACAAGAATACTTGTCGGACAGTTTTTCCATATCTGTCGCAACGAGACTGGACCTTAACCGGGGTGCGACGGTTTGCGTACCTCTTTGACCCATTGTGCTATACTGGGTGGTGCCCCCGGCGCCCTTGAAAGCTACCCTTACCAGGCTGGTCAATGCTTAGAGGTCAGACAAACGCAGTCTCCTGGTCCTCTAGGTTGAGGGTTTGAAATGGGATGGCCTCCATTACTTTGAAACTAAATCATTGCCCCACTGCCTTGCGGACAGGCCTTTGAGCCAAAGGCTTTGGTCGAGGACTCCTATCGTCCTCCTGTCTAGGTTTAGGCGTCATGGCAGTATCTCGACCCACATACAACCATGAATATCTCCTCAAACGTTTGTTACCTCCTGTAACGGCCGTCGCGCAGATTATCAAGGGTCGCCTTATCTGCTACACAAAGTAAGGCAGGTAAGCGAAAATATGCTGCTGCTGGCGCCTCGCTCCTTTCTTTTCTACCTTTTTCGTTTACTCCCTTCCCGACTGTCATTGCTAGTCTTCCTTATTTAATTTCCGGCCTTATTGACAGCAGCCTAAGTACCGCTGGAGTAGAACCATCTGCAGTCACCTTCCCGTCATACCCATCGGACGCCTATCGGCAACAGTCCCTTATAATGCCACGCTGTCCCCTTTCCTCGATAGCGTTCAACACGCTGCACTCGCACGCATCTTGGACACACTCGGTATTGACTTGCGTTGCGTATCCGAAACTAGGATCGATGACCCTCGTGGAGTTGTTTAATTAACTTCACCTGGCTTGTCCTCGTTATTCGTTGCACGCATCCGGAGACACTGATGCGGCAGCCTCTGGTTAAACTGCGCAAGGTATCATACTCAGATCCAAGCCTGAGTCATGATAGGTTGATTAGATTCCGGTGAACAGCCGTTTCTGTGCAGCCCGTTTGGCGATATCGACCAAGATTCACGAAGTGGTTAAGTGTCACGGAGTCGAAACGGCTAACTGCGATGATGCACTCTAGCAGGCTGCAGCCTAAGAACGTGATACGATTTCGTGATGTCTCTCTGTTTGAAACGGGTTGCTACTTGACCAACGGTAGCACGGCTGAGTCACGCCGGGAACTGTTGGACTCAGTCCGCCTTCATCACACGGGTTACTACGTGACAGAGCGCGATAACAGCTGGCCAGTGCGGACCGCAAGCAGGTTTGAAATCTGTCCAGGGCAATTGGATTGAGTCAGCTCAGGTACTTACAGCAAGAGATGTTAGATTATGCCCTTTAAAACGAACCATTCTGTGTCTACTCTACTTCGGGCTAGCAGGTTTCGGTTTTCTGTTTTGTCCCCGGCTGGGTTGGCGTGACAGAGAGCAGTGGGAGGGTAGCGATGCAACAATAGGACGCTGTTTTTTGTGGTTTACGCACTTACGCTCCCATCGACTACAGTTCTGATGATGCCAAGGACACATGATACCACGAACTGAACCCGCTACTACGCAGTGCTGCCAGTTCAGATCTTATAATACTTACACGGGATATGAATGCAAATATAAGGCGTCTGAACTACTCAGGAGCTCAGCTAGATGCTAGTTATGGGCTTAACTCCACCGTACGGATAAAGACGAGCCTGTTTTGCAACTGTCTACGGAGCACCAGTTGTTTCTTAATAGCACTGCTTTTAGGCGCCGAAGTACCACTTGGCGTCCTCCTGTAGCTGGCCGGTGAATGACCTAAATAGGTCACCTTACCATAAGTCACAGACGACGTGGTTCTATACTGGGCTGACGCTTGTTCTGGAATACCTACGTCGACTCGGATCATGTATTAGTATGCTATCGTTTCTCCCTGCACTTTACCGGGAGGTGCACCAAGCGTCTTCTTCTGTTGGCAACTGAGAAATTGCCTCAGCCTTCGGTCAGGCAAGCCTATCAAGGAGCACTGCGTACCGAACTTTCGCGGTCTTGTCCTAATGACACTTGAGCTTCAGTGGAATAGGATCACGTCCGCCATGCACGACGCGGGAGCATCTACTTGTGGCACTATCAATCGTCATCGCACCAGTCACTGGATATCCGAGAAATCGGTGAACCTGTTGGGATCCAGAAGAAACCTCCCGGCTGGCTCTGAGCACAATGTGACCAGACGGACTATTAGACGCGAACTAAAGAGCGGCCTACGTGCTGACAAGGAAGCCCGGTGGACCATTCGGGCTCAAGAAATGGAGGAGGCAGGAATAGTAGGCACTTACCGCAACCTCTTTCAGCAGATCCGCACCACTGGTCCCAGAAAATCAGGCGTCAGTGAGACGATCAGAGACAGCGCGGGTGCCCTGGTTCTCAATAACGTGTATTGTATGACTCGTTTTTCGGAGCGCTTTCTACATCATGTCAGTTGACCCCCTGCTTCCATACTTCTTACTACTCAAGTGATGTAGGACGAGCGGTGGACAGTTAGTATAGTGGCTCCACCGTAAGCAGAGGTCCGAAATGCGATCACATCCTTTATTTGTTTTCGTGCCGCTGATGCGGATTCCCTTCCATCTTCAGAATTTAACGATGGATGTGTGATCCTCTGCAAAGCACTGACCTCACTGTTCGTACATGTATGGAAGGAGGAAACCGTCCCGGCTAACTTGATTGAATCCGATCATAGTGACAAACTACAAGAAGCGCAGTCGCGCAGGCTGTTCTAACCAGAGATATTAGCCTAACGCCCGTAGTGAAAAAATTACTGGCCTTAATCCTCGTTCGTCACCTCACTGCGGAGCGGGAATCCCGAATTAGGGAAGAGCAGGCAGGTTTCCGCCCAGGACGGGGCTGTGTAGACCACATATTCACACTGCGGCAGGTGCTAGAGCAGCGCCACGCATACCGACGACCGACAATAGCTGTATTCCTCGACTTCAAGAGTGCATTCGATTCAGTCGATTGATCAATCATGTTCAAAATAGTTGTGCAAAAGTTCCCATTAAAAATATGAACATTTTAAATGCTCATGTAAATATAAATAAATAAATGAATATATATCTATTCTCCACTGTACACGAAAATCATCGAAGGCCTGATCAATCTGCACATCTAACAATTGTCTGACTGTGAGGCCAGTAGTTGCATTCATGAGCAAATCGGTGTGCTGTCTAATGATGCCACCAGTGGGTCGGGACGGACTGAATTCTAACAGCAGTGTCACTTCAAGTCAGGTCAAGAATTACTTTTTTGCACCAATCAAGGGCGAATTTTTAGCTGTAACACACGCGCGATCGAAATGGTATAGCGAACAGTACTGGAACCTTACAATGTGCTCCCGGCAGTATGATTCCCTTAAGCAGCGAAAGCAACCTAACAAAAGCTTACGGGTTTGTTGGAAGCCAGTCATGGGGCAATAACAGCTTTTGTGGCAATCGCAATATGGCGCCCATCGACCGGTCATCACATACGGCCATTCTGTTTTTCTCAGCTGCTAGCACAGCAACCCACTAACCACTTCACATGGAACCCTTTTGCTGCTTTT